CCCTGTCACGTGTGGGACGTTTCCCTGTCACGTGTGGGATGTTTCCCTGTCGTGTGTGGGATGTTTCCCTGTCCTGACAGGGACATTTCCCTGTCGTGTGTGGGACATTTCCCTGTCACGAGTGGGACATTTCCCTGTCACGAGTGGGATGTTTCCCTGTCAGGTATGGGACGTTTCCCGGTCGTGTGTGGGACGTTTCCCTGTCGTGTGTGGGACGTTTCCCTGTCAGGTATGGGACGTTTCCCGGTCGTGTGTGGGACGTTTCCTGGTTGTGTGTGGGACATTTCCCTGTCACGAGTGGGATGTTTCCTTATCACGAATGGGACGTTTCTCGGTCGTGTGTGGGATGTTTCCTGGTCGTGTGTGGGACGTTTCCCTGTCCCGTATGGGACAGTTCCCTGTCACGAGTGGGACGTTTCCCTGTCAGGTGTGGGACGTTTCCCTGTCAGGTGTGGGACGTTTCCCTGTCACGAGTGGGACGTTTCCCTGTCAGGTGTGGGACGTTTCCCTGTCACATGTGGGACGTTTCCCTGTCGTGTGTGGGATGTTTCCCTGTCATGTGTGGGACGCTTCCCTGTCACGAGTGGGACGTTTCCCTGTCACGTATGGGACGTTTCCCGGTCGTGTGTGGGACGTTTCCCTGTTATACGTACTGGAAACAACCCTAATATCTCTGATAGTTGGGGTGAATTTAAGTAAATTTTGTAACATTATTAAGTGATAAACTATATGCGCCTGCTAAATACTACATTTCAAAATACAGTCAAAGACATGACGGACTTTTTAACACTATGTACGGTATGAATGCAGGTTTGTTTAAATACATCGGAGCAATTTGGACAAGATTTCCAGGGTTCAAATTCCACTCCTACCACATACTGGGTGTTTCATCTTTTGTTTTTTGGGAGTTTTTTTGCAGTTTTTGGCCGGGGCTGGGTTTGAACCCACCACCTCCAGTATATGGGGCCGGCGCCCAATCTTTTTTGAGTCACAGGCACCACCCTTCACCCCTCTTCTGAATGTTCTTAACCTGTGCTGTCCTGTTGTGGTAGCTACTACACACATGTCTCCTGCAAAATTTAAATTAATTAAAATTCAACGAGAAGGGTGTGGTGAGATGTGGCTGAAGGATAGAAAACTCTGATGAGACAGGAAGAATTAATTCAAGAGATCTGTTGTGATGGAGTCTGGAGTTAACACTATGTTATATACTTTGTCATTACTAAGAGAGGAGATTGTAAGTGTTCTCACTACAAGAAAAAGTATGTAAGGTAATGCATGTGTTAATTCGCTTGATTTAGTCAATCTACAGTGTATGCATATATCAGAATATGTTGCACACCCTAGATAGTTTTTATTTGTCAGTGACAAGTAGCAAAATTAAAGTTAAGCAAATAAAAATATGCACCAGTCCCTCAGTCTCTGTGATCTCACGCAGTTGGTGGTTTTCCCGTTAATGCAGATAGACATCTCATTGTCACAGAACGTTCCCCTGGATGACACTGTTGCCTTTGTTGTCATCCCCATCAGTATCTGATGTTTAGATCTCAAAAAGTTCAATATCCTCCCCCCCAAAGATAGTCTGAAATAATATCTTAGTCTAGAGGTTTAAAGAGGCAGAGCTCATCAGGACCCCGAGAGGAGCAGGACCAAGAGCAGGCAGAGGGGACCCGGTGGGAGAGATGGAGACGCCGCCGGCATCAGAGGGGATGGGGTGTGCCAGGGACAGATAATCGCCGATTGTTCCTGCGTTTGCTTTCTTCTGGCTTGGTGGAAATTATAGAGAGCCAGTTTAATTTAATAAAAAGCCGAAGAGCATTAATAAACCATTTACCCTTCAAGGGCATTTATTATGCAAAAAGGGCGGCTGTCCCTTCTCACTGTGGCCATGACCAAATGCCTTTCTCTTTCCCCTGAGGAGAACCATTCAGGCCCAAAAGGTTAAAAGCCCCTGGGGCTTGTTACAGATACAGTCTCTCAGAGAGAGACTTTTTTCTTTTTAAACACTAGAACAGATCGATTTGTATGAGATCCTTTGTTGCTTGGCCCAGATGGGGGTGGGAATGGGTTTGTCGTTTCAGGGGAGGTTGGGTCTCTCCAGCGGTGAGCCCTCCTGCCGGGCGGTTCCCACTCAGCATTTCATTTTAGCCTCCACCACCCTGAGACAGAAAGGCACTGACTCTGCTATTATTTTCCCCAGTTTAGTAAACAGAAAATTGAGTTTCAAAGTGGTAAAGTATCTTACCTGAACTCACCAGTGGTAGATTTGGGTTTTGAAAACAGATGCTTAGGCTCAGTGCCTGTGGCTCAAGTGGCCAAGGCGCCAGCCACATACACCTAAAGTGGCAGGTTCGAATCCAGCCTGGGCCCGCCAAACAACAATGATGACTGCAACCAAAAAATAGCCAGGCGTTGTGGCAGGTGCCTGT